CCTGACCCTTCCTGAAATGCACTAGCCTTTAGCTCATGTGATAATGCATCTTCAAATCGTACCTCCTCCAGGAAGCAGGTCCCGATGCACCCTCCAGCATGCATTCTAGGCCAGGTCAAGTCCCACTTGGTTTACTCCCATATGTGGGACGTCTGCTTTATTGCAATCCTAACATGTTTTTTGAGAAGGCTTTTTTTGTTTTTTTTGTTTTTTTTTTTTCTTGTATCTGGGATTGAACTCAAGACCTTGCACTTGCCAGGCAGGCACTTATGCCACTGAGCTATCTCCTGTGTCCCCTTAACATGTTTTTGTATAATTATGCATTTGCTCATAGAATTAAAGGGTTATTTTTATTTTTTTTAAATTTTATTTATTTGTGTGTGTGTGTGTGCGTGTGTGTGTGTGTGGCCAGCTCAGCCCAGCCCACCAGGGGGCAGGGCTGGCTGGCATGTGGTGCTGGGGGATTGAACCACGGTCCCTGTGATTTGCTAAACTTGTTCTAAGTAGGTGCTTTAGACCACTGAGCCATCTCACCAGCCCCTAAAGGGTTTTTTAGACACAGTCTTCCTATGTAATTCAGGATGGCCTTGAACTTGAAGCAATCCTTCTGCCTCAGCCTCTTGAATGAAGGGATAACAGGCATGCACCACCACAGTGGGCTGAGCAGGGACTATTTCTGATTGTTCACCCTTCACTTAATGTTAGAAGGAATCCAATATAGTTATTGGATGGACAAGGGAGGGAAATTGGGGTTAGGAAGATAAAGTGGATGAGCGAAGACCTACAGATCAGGACAAAATGCCAGGCTGAACATACATTAGTCATTGTTTGTCCTTATGAGCATTAACCAAAAACTTGGTAGTAGACAAGATAAATGCAAAAAGGGCAAGGGTCAGAGACTGACTGGGAAATTTCCTATTGAAAATGAAATGAAGGGCCTGAGGATACAGCTCAGTGGCATAAGTGCCTGCCTGGCAAGCACAATGTCCCAAGTTTGGTCCCCAGTACCACAAAAGACAGACACACAGAGAGAATGAATATGAACGAGAATCAAATGAGCAAAAGAGGCCCGCAGATGGTCTGATAACAAGTTCTCCATTCCTCTGGTCTTCGTGAGGCTCCGCTGTGTAGCCTCTGAGTACCAGGCTTATGCAGAGTGCTGGGCGTACACAGCCAACTGCACCGCCTGGATCCCAAGTGGCACCACCTGTCTAATGAAACGCCACTCCTAACCCACGTGTGTGAAAGATGAGGGGGTCCAGCTGAGGCCAGCCACTACAGAAACATGGACCAAAGACAGATTTTGTTGGGAAGCTCATGAATTAACTGTGTGGCCATGTCTGGAGTGTGTGACATGTGCAGAGGAGCAGGTAGGTGTTGCTTCTGTCTTCAGGGTTTTTTGTACCTACAACACATTCAATACTTGTTCTTGCACAAGTAAGGAGAGTACGTGTGGCTTGGAGTGAGGCATGTGGGTTTCAAATCTTTTCTGTGCCCCTTATTGACCGGCCCTGGGCAGATCAGTAACTCTCTGAACTTAAATTTCCTCACATATAAAATAGTAATGTGCAGTTTTTAAATGACGCAGTGGAGTTATCAGCTCCACAATCTAACAGATGTTAGCATACACAATTACAAGGTGACACCACCTTGGCTTCAGGAATGGACAGAAGCCCAAGGCAGTGCTTCCAACACCACCTGGCAGTGTTGTGAGCAAGTGACAACCGCCCTGGTGGGGGTGAGCAGACAGGTACAAGGTGATGAGGAACAGCGTCCAGCCCAGCAGTGCAGGGCCAAGGGCGGGGAGGTGGTGGCGTGCTGAGTGCTCAGTACCGCTCAGAGGCCAAGTGTGGCCCTGGAGGTTGGAGCCAGGAGTCCGCATATGGCACAAATGATGCTAAAGACATTAAGTGTACTCATACTTGCACGAGGAAGGTCGCCTCACTGCCACAAGAAGAGCACTTAGAGACAGCCACAGCAGAAGCAGGCGAGGCCAGGCAAGGAGCTGTTGCCAGTGGACCTGGTGAGGAAGATAAAGGACATGGGAACGGGTGGCAGCCTTGTGACCTCAAAGATCTTGAGGCCAAAAGACAGGTGATCAGGGAGGAAAAAGTTGACTTTGGCTCCCCTCCTGCTGGTGATGTGCTCTGTGCCCCCACATCATGGGACATCAGGAGGGCACTGACCAAGGCAGACGAAGGTTGACCGGGGTTAACCAATTCCATTCCCCTGCTTCCAGCCATGGCCCCTCGGGCAAGGTACATAATCTTTCTGTAAAATGGGGGCAAAAATACCTACTAAAAGGTTAATGGGATGCTTACATGACATGAAGACTCCAAATGCCCAGAAGGTAGGTGGCTCATTGTAGGTACTAAGCACTGTGATTCAGACCCTTTTCCTCATCCTCCCTACCTCATCAAAAGCCACCTTCTCTCTCCATAAATATTCAAGAGTCTGTTAACAGATCCCCCTTAGAAATATCCTCCAGAATATTCAAGAGGACAGAACCAAGCCTGTGTCTTCTCTCATTATGGTACCAACACTGAACCAAGTGCCTGGCCCTCTAGTAGATGCTCACTTAATTTCACAGAATAACTAAGCACCATCTGCATGTCATTCATTCCAAGAATACAGTCACAGACAAGAAAAGTATGGTTGTTTTAATGGAGGAGACAAATACACATAAATGATTTTAGGTAGAATGCTATTTTTTTAGACTGGGCATGGTGGTGCTCACCTATAATCCCAGCTCTTGGGAGGCTGTAAACAGGTGGATCACTACAAGTCCAATCTAGTAGTGAGACCCTGAACACCCTGTAGACCCTTCCCTAAAATACAAAAAAATAAAATAAAATAAAGAATGCTATTTTTTTTTTAAGTACAAAGAGTAACTGATAGGTTTTTCAGCAGTGCAATAAAGAGATGGGAAAGATAAAAAAAAAAAAAAGCCTTTATTAACTCCAAAAACATGGAAAGGATTGAGGACAGATGGGGCAGACAGATCCTCTGGCCTAAGACAAAGAAAGCTGAGGCTTCTATGGACTTTGTTAGGGGTGCAGTTTGAGGGGGATGGTTTGAAATATCTGAGAAGCTGAATGGGGTCTTTCCTGCAGTGGCAGGAAAGGTGAAAGGATATTGCACCCTGGGCTGAGTTGGAGAAGTGGGGAGGTGGTCTCTGGGAAGATAAGTTGTTGTTTTAAGGGCTTCAGCCACATTAGATGACTATCATAATTCAGCAACTCATACTAGGGCCAGAACCTATTAGTAACATGTGAGAAAGTGACAACCGGTGTGAGGGAAGGTGACACAGAGAAACAACTAACACAAAAACTCTGAAGCAGAGACCAGCTCCAAAGACCAGGAAACCAAAGATGCTTGTGTGGCTGGAGAACAGCGACTAAGAGGAAGAGACCTCCAAGAGGAGAGTGAAGAGGGAAAACAGGAGCCGGGTCCCACAAAGAGGCTGGATCCTACCTAGCGGGGAGGTCTTCAGCAAAGAGTGACTCGGCCTAACTAACTCCTGAAGGAGCACTCTTGCTCCTGTGTGGAGAGCACAGGGGGCCTGAGGGTTAGGAAGTTATCACACTACCTGCATGAAAGGTGGGTGACTCAGACATCAGACAAGAGCAGACGGAGACGTGCCGCATGCCTCTGTGATCCCTCCCTGCTTCCTCAGCAGCAAGAGGTTCCTCTCGTCTCCCCTTGATCCAAGCCTGATTACTGGGGAGCAGGCATCCCTCTCAAGGGTGGCAGCCAGGTGTGGTTCGTATCGGTCACCAGCCCCACTCAGCACAGGGCTGGACATGGCCAGGCTGGGGCTCAAAGGGCTGAAGTCAACGAATGAGCAAATGAATGAAGGAGTGGCCTCTCCACTCCTCAGCCTTATGCCTGAAAGGATGAAGCGATCAGTAACTGGAAGAGAAATGGGTGGGAGGAAGAGGTAGCCAGGACAGGTGACAGATGGTTTTATGGGTCAATGAGGGAAAATTACAGCAGCTGTTATAAAGAAGCCATCAAGAGAAATTAGGAGGGAAAAAAATAAAGAGGAATAAGAGCAAACTGTGGCAACAGCCTACTTAATCTAGATGCCCTAATGCGGGCACAGCCCTCGAGTCAGCCACCCCCAAGGTGTGGGCTTCCCAGACAGGGGTGCTTTGGTAGGGCAGGAACGTCACTGAGCAGTAGTAACCTGAAAAGAAAAGCACTTTCTGAGGAAAAGGGGACTCAGGGTGGAGAAGGCATCCTTGGAGAGGCAATTTGGTTGGAAGAAAATATAACACAGACCAGGTATAGCCAGCACCTGCCCTGCCCTGCCCTGCCCTGCCCTGCCCTGCCCTGAGGAATTCATTAGGCTCTGAAACACCTCCAGACAGCAGGATTAGGCTGGGGTCCACAGTAGGGAAATCTGCAGAGGGTGCCCAAGAAACCCCATCACCCCTCACAAACTTCTCTTCCCCTGCCAGGCAATTCAGCCTGTAAACCATGAGCTGGCAGGCAGGGCAGGGCCAAGACACTGAGGTGAGATGCTTCCCTCTATCCCAACTACCTACTCTCTTCTCCCAGATCAGGGGTCAGCAGCAGCATTCTTACCCTGTCTGTTCCCCTCATGGAGACTGTATGGCCCAGCACAAGCCCCCATCACACTTCAGATGAATTCAAGTTGCTGACCTGGTTGCCCAAGCTGACCCTGATCCAGTCTCACCTATACCTCTGCTTCCTCTGTACCCATCCAACATTCCTGCTCATTCAAGCTCACCCTGGCCATGGATATGGGGTGCTTCCTCCTGCAGATGCTCTCATCTCCTATATCTCACATGGGAGAACTTTCTTGACTAACACCAATTTCCCTCTCACCAGCCTCCACAGCAGGGCAGGCTGGCCCTGAGAGTGAACGCTCTTCACCTGCCTTTCCACATCCTTGCTCCCAGGCCTGTGGGCTCCTTCACCCAGACATAGCAATGCAGTCCCCACCATTAGGAGAGATGGTCAGGGAAACACAGGGAAACACAGGGAGGAAGGAGCTCGAACTCTTCCAGGACCCAGAAGCAGCACAGAAAGCTTCTTGGGGGGCCAGGGAGGTAGCTCAGTAGAATAAGCGCCTGCCTGGCAAATGCAGGGTCCTAGTTCAATCCCCGGTACCACCAAACAAAAAAAAAAAAAAAAAAGAAAAAGAAAGCAAGCTTCTTAGGATAAGAGGTCTGGGCTGGGCCTCCCAGGGCTGAGTGGTAGAGGAGCAGGAATGGCAGAGAAGCAGAGGAGGGGAACCAAAGACAGTATCCAGCAAAGCCAGGCTGATGGGGCTGGAGAGATAGCTTGGCAACATAAGCACCTGCCTGACAAGAGCAAGGTCCTGAGTTCTATCCTCGGTACAACCCCCCCCAAAAAAATAAAGGCCAGGCTGAGGCAACAGAGGAGGAGTAAAGTGCTGGGGACACAAGCATAAGTCCCTCCTGAGGGTGACAGACACCAGAGAGGATTTGGGTGCAGAAAAGTCACGTGGCTGCCATCTAGCTCTGGAAAATCAAGCCAGCCCTGCTTTCGACAGGCTCCAGTCGCAGTAGTCCATAGACAAGGAAACATTTCTCAACTGTTGGTGGTTTTGACCCTGTCGTACCTGCTGACCACCACACAGGGTGGGGGTTCAGGGTGGAAAGAAGACAAGGGAGGGGAGCAAGATCCAGACTTAGGGGTCTGTGCTTTGGCAGGGGGTTGGGGAAGGGGACATGGAAGCCTCGGCTCCATCCTGAGTGGTTCCTCACAGGGTGGCCATGTGCCCACTGGGCTGGGCTAAGGCAGGTGCTGTTTGGTCCTTTGGAGCCAGGTGGCAGGCAGCCCTCAGGATGTCAGCTTCACAGGGGTCATCAGTCGCTCCACCTCCCGCATGAACCGCAGACACAGCTCTTCTTGCCAGGGCAGAGCCACGCACTGCACGGCCACAGGCAGCCCCACGCTGTTCTTCAGGGCCTGCAGGAGACACGGTCCTCAGGAGATGGGGAGTACTCAGGATCCAGGAAGGGAGCACCTCACTGGGGAGGAGAGCTGCAAGTGAAGCTGGGCACCCTGCTGATTTCCAAAGGGCTGCTGAGGCTGCCAAGTGCTGAGGACACCAGCTGGGGGTGGGCAGGGAGGAGGTGAGCTGGCAGTAGGTAGAACTTACCTTCTGTAGCACCTTGTCCCAGATATCCCCAAAGTAGCCCCGGTAATGTGCCATCTGGGCCTCATCCTCAGCGGTCACCGTGGTGACAGGTACCACTCCAGCAGGGAAATCCAGGCAGTTGTACAGGACGGTATAGCTGATGGCTCCTGGAACACACCACATGGGCTGCAGCAGGCCACAGGGCCCATAGCGCTTGGTGTCCATGCTGAGCCTCCATCACTTGCCCTGTGAAATAGCACCCTGCCTCCCCAGCAGGGAAAGACCCTCTCCCAGGGCTGTGGTTTAAGTGAAAAAGCCCAGGAACCCAGAAAGATCTCCTGGCGCTTGCCCTGGGCCTCTGCCCACAGTTTCTGAAATGTTCCTGCTTTCTCAGCTCATCTTAAATTCCACCTAGGTTCAAATGTCATCCCCCAAAACTACATATTCTATAACTTGAAGTCTCCAACCTAACTAATGCATACAATGGGGGTTTCACTGTCTACCAGGATATTCCCCATGACTCCCTTCTCTCCAGCCAGCCAGGCTATGAGCCTCCAAGGGCAGAGAACTCTAAGATTAGAGTAGGCTGGAAAGCAGGCCTGACCTGTGGCTCTGCCTGGGGTGTTCAGATCCAAAGCAGGGCCCAGCATCGGGGTCAGCAGCACATCCAGGTCCAGCGCTCTCCACTCAGCAATCACAGATTCCCGGTACTCCTGAGGTGACACCAGTGAAACAGAGGAGATGCTCAACCTGGCCCATCCAGGACCACATGGCAGGGACAGTGGCGGGGCGGGCTTGGCCCCAGCACCTGCTGCTACAGCTGAGCTGAGTGGTGAGGAGGAGGGCCTCTGAGCAGGCAGGAACACTGTTTCTCAGAGCATCATTGCCCCACCTCCAACCCAATCCACAGATGCTGGTCTCCCTGTCAAAGTGGAGCTACAGTCTGCTTGGCCACACACAGCCCCGGGGGGAGGGGGGGCGCCAAGATGCACCCAGGACAGGGTCCCCTTCCTAACCCAGCACCCCAGGATGAGCACTGGGGAAATGAACATCAGAAAACAGGGTCCAATCTGCAGTCCAGGGAAGGGCAAGAAGAGATGACAGCCATGCCAGCAGAGCAGCAATGGCACTGGCCAGAACGCTCTGTTGGCAGCTGCCCTCAACAGCTCCCTCTCCACACACTACTCACGTGCAGGAGCTCAGGCCTCACCTCAATATTGTGCTGCAGCTTCCAGAGTTTTCTAGCTGACCTAGGAATCAAAGTGACGTCACCAGCCGCCCCTGCCATAGCCACAGAGGTTAGAAACATCTGACACCCTCTCTCAATACTTCTATGTCTTGCTACTCCATCGCCCCCAACTCTAGGGATCTGAGAGGGAAGAAGCTCAAAGCCCCATGGAAACTTCAAAGACCAGATGAGACACACAGGCTTCAGGGGAACTTAAGCTGGGTGATTCGTGACTCCACAGCAGAGCCCGCACTAACCCAGGCCTGATTTCTGATTACCCTCAGGACCAAGGAGAGGTCAAGGTGTTGCAGGTTCCGAAGGCCTGCAGTATGAAGAGGAGCAAGGGCACAGGGTGTCTGGGTGGAGATGAGGCGCTTCCTGCCCTACCTTTCCAGCTCGCATCACTACAGGGCTGGTAAGAGTGGTGTAGCTCAGCTTAGTTCAGAACTTTAACTGCGTTTCAGGTGTCACCCAGGGACCAGCATCCCCAGGCAACAGCAAGCCTGGGAAACTTGCTGTTTCCTCCCAGCCCAGCCAGGCGGTGTGTCTCCCCTCCACTGCCCCCTCCTGTTTGTTCTCTTGCTCTGCAGCACCTGGACCCCACTCAGACAGCTTCAAGGTCCCACCTGAGGGCCCCCACCTGGGCCACTTCCACCTCCCCCAGGGGCTTTTCCTGTCTGAAGCCACCTGGACTCAGATCAGGCAGGGCCAAGACAGAGTGGGCATCCGAGCAATGAAACAATCCTCACCGAGGCCTCATACTGCTGAGAAAGGCTGCCAGCCGTGGGAACTGCACCAGAACAGACATAAGGTCAGTGACTCAGGGTGGGCCACCATCTGGCCACCCATGCCACCCTCTTGGGCAAGCAGGTTGATGAAGATGCAAGGGGTGAGGAGGAGCACAGTCAGGGAGAGGGGTAAAAAGGAGCCTAGGCCTCTCCAAATGGAAAGGCCAAGAAACAGCAAGGAAGAGCCAGGGGCCACAAGGTGTCACAGGATGGGGGTCCCAGAGGCTCCCCTAGCCCCTTGTACTTGTTTGTTCTCACCAGGGGCTTCAGCAGGAAGGCTAGTACTCCTTTAAGCCACTTGGGCAGCTTCAGAATTAAGACCAGATCCCCCAGGCAGGGGTCCACAAAATCACCCTTGCTGCAAAACAAAAAGCTCAGTCTCAGGGCTCCTATCCTGGGGCCTCCTGGCTTCCTCCCCACTAGCTTCAACTCTTGCTCTCTACTCAGGAGCCCTGTCCACCTCCCTTCTCACCAGATCCCAGTAACTGCTGGCCTCCAACCATCACCTTCCGCTTTCTAACACATGTTTTGTTTCTGCTGATTCTTCAGGACATCTGGGTTCTACTGTACCCCTACCAGAGTCCCCTCAGCAGAACTCAGGCCCCCCCCCATTACCAGCAGATCTAGCTCAGAGCTTTAGGGATGGAGAGCCTGTGCCTATCAGAACCAATGCCAGCTTGCAGGCTCCCGTGGGGCAGTCCATGAAGCCTGTCTCTGAGCTGGCTTAAGGTCTCAGGTGCTGATCCTGAGGCTCAATCCCAGAGCCAGAGTGAGAGGTAGCAACTTCTGCTGAAGCCTGGACCATATTCAGCTGCTAGGGGGCAGCAGGGAGGCTGGATCCTTGACTGCAAGACTGCAGGGTCCAAGTGTCCCCATAACGAGGTCTCTGGCCTGAGGGGCACCAATCAGCTAGCCACCATCAGAGGCCACCTTCCCAGATCCATCAACTGCCCCTATAATGACTAAAAACAGCCAAGGAGAACCAGCTTCTCTAAACATTAGCTCTGCCAAGCCCTTTAAAATGAGTCTGGTATAACTCCCATGTTTTACAGAAATAAAAACTGAGGTCCTACTGAAAGAAAGACTTGGCTCAGGCCAGACAGTGCCTGGAGTTACAGTCTGACATCCATCCTCCAATCCACCTGCCTCGATCCTGCCTTTGCCTCTGCTCCCTCCCAGACAGCAGGGAGCTCCCACACCCACCTCCCATGACACAACACACCAGCTCAGACCAGCTACAAATGTAGTCAGCCTCCAGTGGCCTGGCACCTCACCAGTATCCCTGGCGAGATAGCTCCCAGCTCTACACACATAGCTGGGAGGACAGGAAGGTCCCTGCCAGAAAGCTCAAACCTTCTTAATTGCAGCTGAGCCGGTCATGGGGCCACAAGACCCAACTGCTCTCCCTGCGTCTGTTCACTTTCCTGATCCCACCACAGAATACAAAGTTCGAGAGCACTCACAAGTTCTGGAGGAAGCTGTGGCCACCGTCGCTGAACAGCCCACCTGCAGAGAGCGTCTCCAGTGCATAGGGTATGTTGCTTGGCAAGAAGGGGACAAGCTGCAGGGATGCAGGGGTATAAGGTCCTAGCCTTAACAGACCTTGTTCCTATGGCCCACGTGCTGCCTGGCAGCCCAAGGAGCAGCTGGACCACCCGGCCCACATGGTATCCTCACAAGAGCCCCAAAGGCAGCCTTACTGACCACAAACATACCCTATAAAATGGCCCTCATGAAAGAAGTCTGGAGGCACGACATATAAGGTTGTCTCAGATGAGCAGTCTAAACCACCGTCCCACTATGTCAGAGCCCCAGGAACCTCTGGACAGCCAGTCACTGTCATTCATAGTTGATGGAAGTCCCCCCAAAATGCATTATACAGCATGTGCTGAGTTCTCCATCCCCCACTGGGCCCATCCTCTGGGTCACCTCTGTATACTGGTCCCACGGGGCCACCATTCTCATTACCAATATCAAAACAATCAGAGACAGCCTGGGAAGGAGTGTTCACAGGTACCAGGCAGGTCCTCTGGAGGGGAGGAGATGCCAGGCCTCCTTCAGGGATCCTGCAGCCGTACCGTGTGGCCAGCAGCTTCAAGCCTCTGCTTGGTCTCCAGCAGAGCCCGCTTCATGGCCGGGCTGGGCCTGGTATAGTTGTCAGTCTCATAGTATCCCACACGCAGGGGCCGGGAGCTTGTGTAGATCTGGGAACAAACACAGGGGGCAGGGGACAGGGGACAGGGGACAGGGGACAGAGGGAGGGACAGAGGCAGGGCAAGGAGAGGAAGCTCAGAAAGGAAGGCCTAAGCAGAGCTCCTACAGATGACAGAAGCTACTTGGCTGCAGCCTGCTCTTCTTTGGCACCATTCACCCTGGAAAGAGATCATCTGCCAAGCCTGCCCCTTCCACACACGACTCTCCACCTTCATAATGCAGAGCGGAGATGAAGATTCCCAGGGGTCATATGAGGAAACTGAGGCTTGAGGTCTAGAGAACAGGGTTGGGACTTGCCCAAGGCAAGTGGCTCCAAGCATCCTGACTCCTGGGATGAGCCTCCATCACCTCTCCTGGCTCCCAGACCTCCAGGCAGGGCCCCCTCTCTCCCTCTCCTCACCATCAGGAAGAGTTTGGGAGGCAACAGTCAGAGCCGACTAAGGAACAAAAGCCCACCCTGCCCAGGTCTGCCCGCCTGCCCCATCCTCAAGGAACACCATGGCCCACTGTTCTCCTGCCCACAGCCCCTCAGCCTGGCTGGGGTAACAACAGAAGGCCCACACAGGAGAGAGAGACACCAGACTGCTGACAACTGGAGCTCACACCAGCCAGCTCATATCCACACTGACATATCTGCATCCACCTAACTGACTACTCTCAAGCCCTTTGCACACAAATATGTACATCCATCTGTATTTTTTTCCCCTAGGGTCTCACTTGTAGTGCAGGCTGGCCTTGAACTTGCGATCCTCCTACCTCAGCCTCTCAAGTGCTAGGATTACAGGCCTATGCCACCATACCTAACCTGATTTTTTTTTCTTTTCTTTTTTCGTATCAGGACCTCATACTTGCCTGGCAGGCACTGTGCTACTGGGCTATCTCCCCAGCCCTCCATATATATTCTCAAATAGTCCTCGCCAACTCTTCAATAGAAACCATCAAATGGCATTTATACTCCAGGACTCTGACCCTTTCATTCCAAGGTCATTAGATGGCCATGGCCTTGTCCTGAACTATTATATTAGGTCATAACTTCATCCAGTCTCATCCAGCACTGCGTTGAAGGATACTCTCCACACCATCCCTGCCCTCTGAGGCTCTGGGGAGGTAGAGGCTACCTCAGAAAGCAGTGGGCTCAGCTATGATCACTGGCTGTCTTGGTGACATTTTGGGGATCCAGCACAGTTCCCTATGGTTCAATACATGGAAAGCATCCCACTTCTGGGGCTACAGACAGGAATACCATGTGCAAAATTGCTACTTACTGAAGGTCAAAAATATAGATACCAGAGTTCTCTAGCTAGAAAGCCTGTGGGTTTCCAAATGCATCCAAGGATGCCACCTAATGGTCATCTAAGAAGCAGCAGCTTGCCTTGGCCTCAGATCCTGGAGGCTGCTTTTCAAGGGAGGTGGACTCAGAAGCCTGCCCATAACCCCTGGGTTCAGGAGTTCACCCCCTTGCCGATCCAGAACCCCACTCACCTCCTCTCGGAAGGGCAGGGGTGGCACGGTGGGGTCCAAGCGAAACATGTCCTCACACAGAAGAGCTCGAAGACACAGTGCCAGGCTCTCCACGTCCCGAGCAATGGGGCCAACGGAGAGCTGCACTGAGGGGCAGGGAGGGGCAGGAAGTGGGGTCACCAGACCCCAGTGGGTTCTGGGATTGGGTTGGAGTCGGGGGTAGGCCATGGCCCAGGAGTGTGAACAAAACAAGGTCGGAGTGCAGACCTAGAGTGGCCTAGTGCCCAGACCCTCTCCCCCAGAGAATTGGGCACAGGCAGCCGAGGCTGACACCCACCCTCACTGGGGCACTGAGAACCTCAAACCTCACCTGCCAGCTGTCCGTGGATACAGCCCTTCAGGCCACGCTTGCTGGGTAAGAAACACGAGGTGTTGGAAACAGGGAACACTACCCTCAGCCCACCCCAAACATCCCACAGCAGCTCTGAGCACCCATCACTAGAACCTGGGAACCCTGCAAGGCTGGTGGTGGTGACACCTCCGTCCAGTGAAACCCTGCTCACTGAATCCCTGCCTGGAGCCCAGAGGGTAGAAGCTAGGCCACGATCACTACACAAGGGGCTGGAAGTTCCCACCATACCTGAGGCGGTTTCCAGTAGGCTTGAGGCCACAGATGCCACAGAAGGCAGAAGGAAAACGGATGCTGCCTCCAATGTCAGTGCCCAAGCCCAGGGGGGAGCCTCCAGACCCAATGAGGGCCCCTTCGCCCCCGGAGGAGCCACCTGGGCTTTTCGAGGATTTCCACGGGTTCGTAGTTTGCCCAAAGAGGGGGTTACTGCAGTCATAGCTGGAGGAGCGGGAACAGGTCAGCCAGGGTCACGTTGTCACCTATGTCCCAACTGCTCCACCCCACTTTGCTATAACTCAACCTGAACATGGACTGGGGGACGTTGGTGTGCACGAAGGGCACAGCACCCTGCAACTTCAGCACCTGCACTACCACGCTGTCGACCTCGGCTGGCACCCCCTCATTCAGGCTCAAGCCCAGTGTCGAGTTCTGGCCCTAGGAAGAGGAGAAGGGTTGGAAGAACATGGCAGGTGAGTCAGGAGAGACCCACTCCTATCACTGTCACACTGGCAAGGCCAGGCACACCTGTGGTCCGTTCTCAAAACTTCTGGACCTCACACTTCCTCTGCAGGACCTAAGTGGCCCAGAACACAAAGCTGCCTCCAGCAGTGCAGGGCAAGAGGAGCCTGACACCAGGGAAGGGTGTACCTTGCAGCTGAAGCACTCCTTGAGGCTCACAGGGACACCGTAGAGCAGGCCTTGGCGTGGAGCCTGGCGCAGCTGGGTCTCACAGTCAGCCAGGTAGGAGGTTATACAGTTGATCCCTCTGTTCACTTCCCAGGCCTAGTAAGGAGGATGCAGACATAAGACTGAGTGAAGCTGGACTTCTTTCCTTTTTTAATTGTACAGTAAGTGGCCCGTGACTATTTAGGCAACAACCCTTCACAGCTACAAATAGACTTACACACGAACAAGTTCAAGAAGTAGCTCAGGTGCCTGCTAGACACAGGCCAGCTGGCCACTGAGGGCCTACTGCAGTGTGGAGTGCACAGTGGGGTAGTGCTCAGTCAGAGCCCAGAAGGTTCGGAAGCAGGAGGAAAAGCAGTACAGGGGACTGCTAGGAAGCACAGAGCTCAAATCAGATTTAGGAACATTCTCCTGGAATAGAACTCATTTGTAAGTCGACACTTACCATAGTAGAATGCATAAAGTTGGTTTCTGAAGGTATACTCAGGGAAAGGGCAAAGAGCAATATGGCCCAGAGCCAAGAGCACCTAGCACCCCGTACCCACCTCACTAGGGACATTTGCAAGTGAGAGCGAGAGGGAAAGCAAGAGTGAGCGAGTGAGAGCCAGCCTACAGACAGGATACTCAAGGGGGCAAGACAATAGACATTATTCTGGGGCTGGTGAAACTGAGGCAGGAGGATCACTATTAAGTTCTAGGCCAGCCTGGGCTACAGAGTGAGATCTCAAGGTTAGCTTGAACTACATAGCCAGACCCTATCTCCAAAAACAAAAAAGACACTGTCCTCAAATACCCCGCAAAAAGGGATGAACTGAGAGGTAGGTAATGCTGGCCACGCTTCCCCCCACCCCCCTCCTCCAAGTCACCGGTCTGCCCACTGAAGGAGACAGGAACCACACAGAAGCTAAACCCGTATCCAGCCTCCTGGGGCCTACCACTCCTTCCAAAAGGAATGCCCTGATGGAGGCATCTGTCTATCCCTCAATCACAGCCCCACAGCCCCAGGGGAGAAGTCAGCTGTAGCTACTCCTGCCCCTGAGAAACCCTAAGGGGAAAGGGAGGAGTTGCACTGCCATAGTCAGGCCTGCATGGCCTCTGTCCCTAGGTCACCTAAGGCAGGAAGGGAGGAGCCTAGGTATAACTGGAATGTGCTCTTCTGGTGACCAGAAAGAGCAAGAGCCTTTCCAGGACTGTCACAGGGAAGAAGCAAGACCATTTGAGGAGACTGTGTCCTCTGTCAGTGACAACTGCCCACTGGTGGCTCGCACCAGCTCTCAGGTACAGACCCTGAAGTACACACCCCTCACCCTGACACCCACTGTCACACACAAATCACACTCATAACACAATCTGCCCCCTTCCTTTCCCACATATGTCTTGAGCACTTCCTGGGTGAAAAATGTGTTCAGCATGAAATTCAAAGACAAGTAAGAGCCAGTGTGGCCGAGCATGCCTGCAAGCCCAACTATCTGGGAGGATGAGGCAGGAGGATCACAAGTTCGAGTCAGCCTGGGCTATGTAGCAACTTAGAAAATCACTGTCTCAAGAAGAGGAAGGGGGCCAGTGATACAGCTCAGTGGCATAAGCCTGGCAAGTGCAAGCTCCCAAATTAGGTCCCTAGTACTGAAAAAAAAAAGGAAGGAAGAGAGGGGTGGGAGGGAGGGAGGGAGGGAGGGAGGGAGGGAGGAAGGAGAGTTGCTAGGGATGTAGCTCAGCAAGGAGGCCCTGGGTTCAATGCTAAGGGCAGGAGGGGGGAAACAAGTAAGAAAAGCTCTGTCCACAGAGGCCATAGAGAGAGGGGAATAGAAGGAAAGAAGCCTCACGTGTGTGTGCTGCGGAGACAACGTGAGCGCAGAGGGCCAGAGGGCCGGTTGGCAGGCAGGGCATCCTGCTTTCTGACCAGGCTGCCCCCCTGCAAGCACTCAGCATGGCTCTGTGAGGGACAAAGCAGAAGACAGAGCCTTGGGGGAAGGAGCCTGCAGAAGCAGAGCAGAGCAGAGCAGGGCAGGGAAAGCCCCAGGTCCCAAGCCCCAGGCCCTGTGTGCCCTTGGCCATGGTGCTGCTAGAAAGACAGCACTGGGGAGTTGCCAGGGTACCTGGCCAGGAGGCTGCTGCTGGGCCTGGAGGGAGATAAGGGACAGGGTGACCCAAGGGATAGGACAAGGGAGACACTGGAGAGAGGAAGAAAATGGGAATAGACTACACAAGGTGACCAATGGGTGGAGGCAGGAAGGAGAAGAAAGTCTGGGCTCAGAGCCAAGTTTGCAGCTAAGACCACATGCCCAGTGTCACTCATACACAGAGTGCTCAGCTCCTTCCCTCCCTGGCAGCCCCTGGCACGGTGGTGCCACAGAGGCTCTGAACTCCAGGCCAGGATTTCCCCATAGCCTGCACAGAAACAGGGAGGAGGAGGGGAAGAAAGTGGAAGCCTGGGCCACCTACCTTTCCCACATAGGTGAAGAGTGCAGCCTCTGCAGACAGCTCTGCACTGTGCAACTTCTGAACCAGTTCAGGCAGAGGCAAGGCCAGCAGCGCCTCAGAGTCCAGGTCAGGGTTCTGTGGGACACATAGTCAGATCAGTCCCATGGCCTCTCTGAGCGCCCCAGAATCAAGCAGATTCTCACTGCTAAATCCCCATCTGTGAGAGCTGCGCCCACAGAAAGCTCTGACTCCAGAGACAGGGCACTGCCCTGGCAGGCCCTAGACAGTGATAGCGCCTCCCGGGCTGCTGGAGGAGGACAGGGGCCAGGTCCAGGCTGATTACTGTGCCCATTCCAACCAAGCCCCATTGTAGCTGCCTACTGTATGCATCAAGCGACCTGCAGAAGCACGCTATTTTTGGTTTTTATGTTTTCTTTTGTTTTGTTTGGGGCAGAGTATCACTGTGTCGTTGCCTAGGCTGGGCTCAAACTCCTGCATCGGCCTCCCAAGTGGTATCCAGCACCATGCCTGGCCACATTCATTTTAATCCCATTTCCTAGGATTCCCATTGCACAGATAAAGAAAGCAAGGCTCAGAGAGCGGAAGCGCCTTGCTAACAATCATAAAGGTAAAGCGCGCTCTGTCCACCCAGCCCAGGCTGCCCAGGAGCTGGCCACCTGCACCTGGGCAGCACCCAACTCTCCATCATGGCTGGGTCTGTTGCTGGGGGAGGGGGAGGAGAGGAAACCATGAGGCAGCTGAAAAGCAGAGCTCAGTGGAAGTGTCTGCCATGGATGGGACGGCAGGCCTATGTGGAGAGGGGACATTTCAGCTTGGGTCTAAAAGACAAAAAAAAGAGGATGCAGGGAGCTACAGGTGCCTCAAGGTTCCTCAGGCACTTTGCCTTCCCTCTCTGATGCTGGGGGAAGGTCTGCTCTCCTGTAGCTTCCAGCCTGCCTTCCATCTGGCCCTGACTCTCCAGACCCTCAACCAAGCCATGGGCTCACTGTCCTCCTGCTAGCTCAAAGCCAGCTTACGGCTGCTTGTCACCTACCCAGCCCTCCGTGATCTCATCATTTGCCCGGCTTTCAACCTGCCCTCTCCACAGCGGTGCACCAGCACCTGTATTCACACAAGCTGTCACCCATCCAAGAGTTCAGGTGAGAAACTGTAGTCCTTCCAGTTCCTCTTGTGCCCTCCCACCTGCCTCCCAAGTAGCTTGGGAAAGGGCCCCCTCTCTGAGCAGACCTCCTCCAAGCTCAGCCCTTCTTCTGGGGTCACACAAGGAACCGAACTCCTGCCCAGCTCAAGCCCTGTCCCCTAGACCACATGAAGCCCAACCTGGCCTCTCTCCTCCCCTTCTCACCCTGTCATGTCAACCACAGGCCTGGAGCACATTCCAGAAGGAGCCTCCAGGTGTGGTGCTGTTCTTGCTACATCACCACTCACAGCCACACTGCCCCAGCACAGAATAGCCCCCACACGCCCACAGCCTTTGACCTCATAGTCACTTATCAGGCGCCCTGCCCTGAGTTTGTTAAACTGATACATCACTAACTTGGATTTTTTTTTTCAAATACAGCAAGCTACATAGAACAAAAAGAAATAAGACTATGATCTTGCTCCCAAAACACCAGATAATACCTTGTTGATTTTTTTTGTAGTATGTAGAATATATAAACTGAAAAGTAAGAGATCACCACCCCTGGTCCACATAGTCCCTCTATAGAAATGGGAATGCAGTTAACAGTTCTTGATGAACTCCTACAGGAAATAAATGTGTAGAAAAAAAAACAACAGTGCTGTTTCTCAATAAAATAAATTTTTTAAAAAATGAATACAGTCAACAATCACTCCTATCAAGAGGAGCCAGTAATGGCTTCCCATAAAGATTCCATCTAAAAAAAAAACACAACAGGGGTCCAGGGAGATGGTTCAGTAGAATAAGCGCTTGCCTGGCAAGCACAAGGGCCTGAGTTCAATCCCCGGTTCCACCAAATAAATTAATTAATTAAATAAACCCACAACAGATACATCTGTTTGTGTTTATTCTTTTTGTGCAAAGTGATCATCCTTATATACAGAGCACTGCATCTTGCCTCTCACATCTCCCAGTGAAAAGGTGGGGTTTTCAGATTATATAAATAGCAGCTCACTGTTTTTTTTTCTTTAAAATTCCTAGCTGGGTGTAGTGGCGCATGCCTGTAATCCTAGCACTCAGGAGGGAGATCCATTTGAGTCTGAAGCCAGCCTGAGCTTCATAGTGAGTCCAAAGCCAGCCTGAACTACCTAGTGAGACTCTGTCTCAAAAAAAATAAGTAATAATGAATAGAGTGATTTGTTCTAATGGTGTTAGGATATCATGTCCACATCTTGTACAGCAATTAACCACTAGGAAGAATGTATGCAATGTGTTAATTATTGAAACTGTCCTACCAATGTGATTTGAAAAAAATAAAATAAAAAATTAAAATAAAAAAATAAAATGTTTATTTAGTCATCAAAAAAAGGAAATAAATAAAAATAAAATACAATTTTTAAATGCTTAACACAATGGAGAAGCAAGTTGAAATCAGCAGAGTCCACTACTCCATGATAATTACCACTAGCAGTCTCCGCCCACATAAGCACAAGGCACCCAGAGTCCTTGTGCACAGGGCTGCACCCCTATTCTCCGAAGGCACTTTAACCTCCCTCTCAACAGCTGTCAACACTGTTGCTAACAGCTGTTCTTAATCTTCAACTAATATCAGGCAGTTGAACCATTCTCTCTTTCACAAGACAGTCTGCATCTCCAGAGGGTCAATCTGTGAACAGGAAAACATTTCTTGTGGAGAATGCAGGGACATGTACAGAAAACTTCTAAATAATTGTGTGGCAACCCCGTCTAGGACAATTTGCAAAGGAAGCTAGTACATCTATCGTTGAAGGGGTATACTAGGGATAGGACCCAAGAGTGTTCCACCACTAAGCTACAGATACAGCCCTTTTTATTTGTCTTTTAAAATTCTGAGACAGGGTCTTGCTAAGTTTCCCAGACTAGCCTCAAACTTGGAATCCTCCTACCTTAGCCTTGTAAATGCTGAGATTACAGGCATGTGCCACTATGCTTGGAGCCTATGATTTTTCTTGCTCTCCATTATTTTTTATTGCTCTTCTTCTATTTCAAAACATGACCCGCAGGCCAGCTGTAGTGGCTCACACCTACAGTCTCCGCACTCAGGAGGCTGAGGCGGTAGAATCACTGCAAATTCAAGGCCAGCCTGGGTTACATAGTGAGCTCAAGTCCCGCCTGAACTACATATCTGAGACCCTATCTCAAAAAAAAAAAAAAAAAAGTCATTTCTATTTGAGGGCTGACAGTCCCACTAGTGACCACATTCTCTTCCAAGTCACCTACTAGATCATTCCAGAGCAATATGCAAGGTAGGCTTGCAGAAGGCCAGGGGATGGAACCACAGGTGGATCCGACTGAAGACAGTCACATTTGAGGACTCCTGGGCCTCTGCTATGTGGATGTATGAGCAGGCTTCATGCTGGGGCATCTCTCCCAACCTCCAGTCTCAGTGGTCCCTCTCTTCAGGCTAGAAAGGCTATCAGAACTTACTCAGGAGGCAGGCTTCATGCTGGGGCATGTCTCCCAAACTCCAGTCTCAGTGGTCCCTCTCTTCAGGCTAGAAAGGCTATCAGAACTTACTCAGGGGGCAGATGGTGGAAATAAGTAAAGAGTCGTGATAGGCATGCCTCCAATGGTCCACACAGTCACTAGAAACACCCTTCCTTACAGCTGCTTGAGTCTGGCAACTTGCACCATTTGTGATGACCCAGAGGTTCTAAGACCCCTTTCTTTCCCATTTAGTGGGTGTGTTCCTTAGCACACAGCTAGTTTCACCCAGCAAGGGGGTGGGGAGGCTGTACTACAAACAGCTATAGCCTCCCAGGGGTGGAGCCTGGTCTCCCAGGTGTCCTTTGGTACTCAAAGCTGGGCCCAGAAAGTCCCTACAGAAAGGTCCCCCCCCCCAAAAAAAAAGGTCCCAAGACACCCTCATATCCCACCCCCTCACCCAGAGACCCAAATCCCAGAAAGGGGTACAAGGCCACCGTAGGCTGGGAAGGGGAAGGAGCTGGTATCAAGGCTGGAGTGAATTCAGCCAAAACTACCACTTCCTACAGCTCCTAACATCTACAAAGTTATTGTCATCAAGACTCCACCCCTTAGCCAGCCACTATGGCCCATATTTGTTGTCCCCACTCCTCAGGCTGCAGGAGGACAATCTCTTGAGCCTATGAGTTTGAGATCAGTCTGTACAGTACAGCAAGACCCCAGTTCCAAACAAAACAAAACAAAAATACGCACCCCTTTGCTGAGTGTCAAAAACTACACAGGCTCCCAGCTGTTTCCCCCTGCAGTTTCCAGTCATTAGAAACACAACATTTAATTTTCTCTCCTGAAAGAGCCAAGTTTTGGTATATAAAGCCAAGCTTTCTACTTCAAGGAAAATACGTAAACAAGCCTGTATTTCAGAGCCATGATTTTCTGTATCAGGAATAGAACTCAGGACCATGAGCTTGCCAGGGAAACAATTGTGCTGCTAAGCTATATCCCTGGCCCCCAGAGCCATAATTTCTATCCTGGAAAATTCAATTTTTTCAAAAGATAAGCAACAAACAAATAAAAAGGCAGAAGCAAGATGGGGGAATGTAGGAATGCTCAGCCCTAGCAGTTAAATAGATTCCTGTTCATAGGATTCCTTTTCATAGACAGAAACTGGGGGTGTGTGCCGCTGCTACACGGAGCAGGAGCTGGCAGAGCGCAGCTGGCGGCACAGAAGGACAAGAGCAGTAAGCTCAGACTCTCCAGGCTGAACCAAATTCATCCCGGAGAGAGGCGTCTCCGTCTCCAGGGTTCAGTCAAATATGGGTGCAGGACGATGAGCTCAGGAGGAGGCGATGGCCAGCTGGAACACCCAGCTGTCCCAGTCCTCACAGAGACAACCTAACTGATTGATGGACTTTTTGGCAGGTTTGATTTGTGGAGCCTGGAACCAGATATGTTTTTACTTCAATAAATAAATATGACACATCCTGGCTTGGTGTGAGGTAAATGTAAATTAATTACATGGCCTTGAATATGGCCCTGAATTTTGGGTGTAATTTGGATTCCACCTAAAGCACAAGCGCACACACTGATCTGACAGCCAGGAAGCAAAGCTTATTGATAGATTCTGCAGGGACAAGCTCAGCTCTCGGAAAGCGTTGCCACGAGTTGGACGACAGCCCTGGTGGCAGGAGCTGGACCGATTTCCACCAGCTTTGCCAATAAAGTCCCCACGCACATGGATCTCTTTCCTGCTCCTTCTTAAGATCCTCAAGCACAAACTAAGGTCCCTGAACTCTTAAGCTCTCCAGGCTGCCTGGGCCATCGCTTGGGATTCCAAAGTCCTAAAGCCTAACACCCTACTGGTCTCGCGCACCGCTCGAGCGTCTAACAGTCAGCATGGCTGTAGCATTCTGTAAAACTCTCCATTGACCCGTGGCGGCGCTGGCTCCACGACCTGTCCTGGCACCTTCGTTCTGTTCGGCGGGAACAGGTGCGCTAGTCCCACACCTGCGCTGCCCACGCACTTGCCCGCGCACGCCCGGATGCCCCAAAGCCCTGCGCTGGCACCCCGACCAAGCCCCAGCCTCCCCACCGTCACCTGGAGCCGGAAGCGCCGCGCCGCCCGGTCCATGGTCTCCAGGCCCGCTCGCTGCCTCTGCCGCGCCCGCGCCCTCGCGCCCCGCGCTGTTCGGCGCCCCAACCAGCGCAGGGCCACCGTCACCGCCACAAAGCAGCAGGCCAGGGCAACCCCGGGAGCTCCGGACAGCACTGTCCACAGTTCGCCCAGCACCATGATCTTGTGCCAGGGTCTGCAGCAGACGGCGACAAACGGGGAATCAGCACCGCTGGCCCCAGCGCTCCGCCGCAAAACCCGGCCCGGATCGCCCGGATCGCGCGACAGCCCAGCCCCGTGGGAGGGGAGGGCGGGGAGCGCGCAGGCGCCGCGGCGAGCTGGAGGCTGGGTGCGCGACGAGGCCAGGTCAAGGTCAAGCCCGGTGTCCCGGTAGAGGTCGCTCCCGGCGGCCCTCCCCTTCGGGCGGAACAGAGCAGCCCACCGGGAAGAGGACCGGCGTCGCCTGGCCGCCCTCGAAGGCACTGGCGCACCCGCGATTCTACGCAGCCTCCGCCCCGCGCACCTCACAGTCCCTGCTCCCCTGGGATGAGACCGGTGGGAGCCAGACTGGACTCGTGGTTTCGATTAACCTCCCAAACAGGAAGCAGCATCTTTCCTGGGGAACCGAGTCCTGGCCGAGCACCGCAGGGCATCCTCTCCCCGTGTGAGACTTCTGGGGCGCCAGCCCAAGACAGACCCAGGAAGTTTCTTGGGGGCAGCCACCTGTCGCCCCCTTATTGCCCCAAGCCCTAGACCACGTGCCTCTCATCCTGGGCTCTTCATAGCCCAAACTCCTCCCGCTTCTCACAGGCTGACCTCCCAAGGCTGGCCCTCTTCCATTCCTGAGCCTGCCTGATTTCAGGCACTTCTATTCATCTGGCTGAAGGAAAACTACCTGATCCTGCCTGGGGAGCTGGCACCTTTCCCAGTAACCACACACACACACACCCCTACTCCTGCCAAGGACTCTCACAGGGTGTGTGTGTGTGTGTGTGTGTGTGTGTGTGTGTGTGTGTGTGTGTATTTAGTATAGGATCTACAGGGTCTCACTAGGCAGCTCAGACTCATAGTGATCCTCTGTTTTCAGCCTCCAAGGCGCTGGGATTACAGGCGCGCCCCACCACACCTGGTGTATTCACAGTCTCAGCATGCCTCATGGGTGGGCCGGCAGGGCACTGGGGCAGTCAAACCCGGTGCCTGAGCCTGCCTGAGCAGGTGCTTTAGTTCACTGAGCTCTCTCACAGGATTTTATGTGCTTTATCTTATTTGTTTTCCCAACAGTCTTTTGAGAAAGGTATTTTTATTCATAGGGTTAAATAACTTCTGAGAGTCACATGGGTAAACTGAGGGAAGATTCAAAATCAGGTTGTTAATTTATGCCTAAAACCAAAGGCCCTACAAGGAACAGCTATACACAGAAGAGTTATAAAACTGTCTTTGGTTTTGCACAATGCTAAGTACAGAACAGTAAATAAACATCCAACTGAACAAGGTAATGACTTTAATATTATTTTTGTTGTTAAAACAGTGAATTCACCTCTGAGACTCTGTGTCAGAAAAAAAGGATAATTAACTGAACTAAAAAGATGAGAGTTTATTGAACAAGTCACTAATGGAAAAAGGGTGTGTTTTCACGGAACAAGTACCTTCCCTACCCTTTTTCCATTTGATGTTCATCAAAACATACCATTTACCATTTAGTTTTTAAAAATGCCTGTGCACGTACACCTGTTACTTGATGGAAAATGAAGGGCTGGGGAAATTAAAAATGGAAACAATGGAGAAAATTATAGGAGCCATGGGGAGGTGAAACCAAATTGTGTTTTCTAATTGAGAATACATTTTTGATCTGTAGGAACTGAGTTCTGGAGGAAAACAGCACGTTTGCTTCTTTATCTTTCTGAGACAGGGTATCGCTATGCAATTTAGTCTGGCCTTCAACTCACTTTGTACCATAGGTGGCCTCAAACGCAATGGTCCTCCCACCTCAGCCTCCGGAGCACTGAGATTATAGGCTGCACCACAACACCTTGTTGCACTCCTTTTTTTTTTTTTTTTTTTGTATTTTAGGAAAGGGTGTACAGGGTGTTCAGGGTCTCACTACTAAATCGGATTCACAGTGATCCGCCTGTTTACAGCCTCCCAAATGCTGGGATTACAGGTGTGCACCACCACGGCCAGTCTCATTTGCCATCTCAGCGCACCCCAGGGGTGGGGCCGGCACCACAGGCCTGGGGATTGAATCTGGCCCCTGCATGCTTTAATCCGCTGAGCTATTTAGCTGGCCCCCTTGTCCCACTCCTGCTGGCCTTTTTTTTTTTTTTTTCTTTTGAACTCTAGACCTTGTACTTGGCCATGTAAGCACTTGTGCCACTCAGCTATATTCCCAGCCCTTTTTTAAAAAAAGTTTTATTTATTTATATGGGGGGGCAGCTCAGCCCACCAGGGGGCAGGGCTGGCTGGCATGTGGTGTTGGGGGATTGAACCATAGTTCCTGTGCTTTGCTAAGCTTGTTCTAAGTAGGTGCTTTAGACCACTGAGCCATCTCACCAGCCCCTACCCAGCCCTTTTTAATGAACACATTTTCTGTCTGCTGTTAGGAGCCTTCCATTATGTTCCCATCCTCAAGCTTCCAGCTATGCAGGTGTGCTCCTTTCCCTGATTGGCTACTCATCAAGTTAAATTTCCATCTGCCCCACTGAATGGTCTGTCATTCACACAGGCTTCACTAGTTACTAAGCGGCACAGTGTGTGCTCTCTAAACAGCACCACCACAAAAAAATAAATAAAATAAACAACACCACAGAGCAGAATGTGGGATCATTCTGTTCTGCTCCTGCATATTAATATGATCGTTGCTCAGTCTTAACTCTTTCCTGAGCTGGTCCTGGTGAACACAGAAGTCTTCTGAGCTGTCACTTCACAAAAGAGGTGGCTGGGCCCCCCACGGGGAACACACAAACAGTGCCAGGAGTGATCCTACACGTTCACTGACTGAGTGGGAGGCCTCCTTGTGGTGGGTCCTGATTTGGACAATCCTGGCCTAAACACTTTAAATCAGGCTGTCTCAGTTGCTCTTCTCTCATTGCTGAGACAAATACCCGACACAAAATGAAGGAAGGAAAGGTTTATTCAGCTCACAGTTACTGGAGATTTCAGTCCATACTCAGCTGGCTCCAAAGCAGAGTGGCACATGGCAAAGGGCAGCAGTTCATGGTGGTGGAAGACAGCAAAACAACAAGAGCAAAAAGGGAGAGTAAAATAATAAATAAAAAGGAGTAACAGCAACAATGGCTGCAGAGAGCAAGTCTTTCTCTCCTCTTTATCTCCTTCTTATCCTGCCCCAGGCTGGGTATAGTACTCACACCCTTAATCTCAGCAGTACTCAGACCCATAATCTCAGGCTTGGCTCATGAATGAATCACAAACTCTAGAACCATGCCCCGGTGACTGCATGAGGCTTTGGGGGGCAAATACACACAAATCATAACACAGGCTCTTGAACATATTCTGGAGCCCGAAGCATTGTGTTTCTAAAATATTTTAGGGTGCATAAAAATTCCTCCTCAGCACTAATGGCCATTTACGAATTTTCAATCAGTGAACTTTGCCATAAAAGAGGGACTGGCAGATGCAGATGATGGAAACTCCAATCAGAAATGAGTCCTGAAGGTCGCTCCAAACTATGTCCTGACCAAACAGGAGGCTAGCCCTCTTGTAATCCCAAAAGAAACACCAAAGACACCCAGGATTTGGAGGCACTGATTGGGATCATTCCCAAAGTCAGGCCCCATCGCTGGTGGTCTGCAGCTTATATAGGATAAGCAAGCAGGAAGTACAGAGTTGAGGCTTGTCAATTGGGGATTGGTTCTTACAATATGCACCACAATGACCAGCCCTTTCTAAGAGCCACAGCAACCAGAACTGGAACAGGAACTATTACCTGAGCAACTAGCAAACAGGAGTACACTGCCTGGGGGGGGATTTTTCTGTTACATTTGCTCCTCTTTTAGTTTCCCCAGCAAGTCTTGCTGGGTATATTGCGTGAGATCTTCTGCGGTAAGGCCCAACTAGAAGCAGTAACGTTAGGGTTGCCAGTGATTCTAAGATGGGCCCTAGCCAAGCTCCCCAAGGTTGTCTTATGACAGATTTTTTCCTAAATTGCTTTAGGAAGAGACATAATTTAGACCTGTCTGTTCTGTAATATTACTCTGGCAAGGAAGGGAGGGAGGGGGCTAATCTGGTCTAGGAGAGTGTCCAAAGTGCCTTGCATACTCATCAAATCTCAGTCAAGTGTTCCATTGATTGTTCTATTCTTTTGGGGCCACCGTCCATGGAGTTTAAGGCAAAAACCACAACTAGCAGAGGGAGGGGATGCAAGGACTGAGGTAAGCAATCTGAGAAGACACAAAAGTCAAGGGGACTAGGTATGGAGCAATCCTGTGAAAGATGTCCTCAGGCTTCAGCCATTTTTAGACTGGTCAGTGTCGAAGTGAGCAGAGCAGACATGTTTGAGTGTGTTGTCTCTTCAGAGTGAACTTCAGAGGAGCTGTCCAGGTAAATTCTAAAGGGAACATTAAAGCTCCTGCAAGCAGGTACAGGAGCTGGGGGTGGGGGGATGGGTTTGATCCCTAGACCTGCCATGTTTCCCCCACCCCCGGGGTGCGATGAGAGGGCAATTGAGACTGGGCGTGGTGGCACACGACTGTAATCCCAGCTCTTGGGAGACTGTAATCAGGCGGATCACCACAAGTCCCATCTAGTAGTGAGACCCTGAACACCCTGTACACCCTTCCCTAAAATACAAAAAAAAACCAAACAAACAAACAAAAAAAAAAAAAACCCCAGAAAGGCAGTCAGGAAGGCAAAGCAGGAAGGAAGGAAGACAGGAAGGAAGGAACAAGGGGAGGGGGAGAGGAAAGACTTACAAAGAGGGTTTTTCTGACCTGAGAAGCACAAGCTCAGGAACCAGACTGCCTGAATTAAAACTCTAACTCTGCCACTAACTGTGTAACCTTGAATAAACTGTATTAACCTTTTGTGCTTCAGTTTCTACAAAAATGGAAATAATACTAGTTACTCCCTCACAGAATTGTTGAATTCAAGCTAAAAACTTAGAACAACACCTCATCCATTGTAAGCACTCAAAAACTGGGAGCTTCCTCTACCATAGGCAGCAGTGAGACATGCTCCTGCCAGGGCTGTGGGAAAGCAGCTTGGAGGAGAAACGGGGGCAGCAGCTAAGGCTGAGCCTGAATGGAAGAGCAGGTGCTGGTGAAGACCTAGGGGGCTGACTTTCCAGGCTCTACTGAGCTGTGTTACCAGGAAGGCACAGTGGGGTCGGGCACAACACACCAGGGGCTCCTGTGCCTTGATCAAGCCTTCAGCTGCCCCCAGGGAGACTGGCAGACCCCTCCCAAGCTCCCCAGGAGATGGATGCTGGGCTGCCCAGGGGAGGAGAGCAAACAGAAGGGACACAGCTGCTCT